CCCCCGCCCCCCGCCCCGCCCCTCCCCCGCGACACCTGCCTCCGGCCCCGCCTCCCCGCGCGTCGCGCCGGGTGTGACGCAGAGGAAGGGGCGCCGCCGCTATGAGGGGGTGGGCGGGAGCGCTGCGGGCGGCGGGGGCCGGGGGGGGGGCGGGACCGGGGCTTGGCGGGTTCCGGGAGCGTTTCGATTTCGGCGGCCGCGATGTGGCCTCCTGGTTCCCGGGGCACATGGCGAAAGGTGAGAGATGGGAGTGGGGGGTGGGGCTGGCCCCCGATTCCGCCGCCGCTCACCCCAGCGCTGTGTTGCAGGCCTGCGGCAGATGCGGGCCTCCCTGCGGCGCGCCGACTGCCTCATCGAGGTCCACGACGCTCGCATATCCTCCGGCACGGCTCTTCATCCCCCCCGCGGGTGTTCCCCGACGCCGGCACCCCACCCCCTGCACTTGTGTGTCCCTTGTCCCCCCCCCGCTGCGTGCCCCGTCTCCCTCCAGGCCGCCCCTTTTCCCAGTACTCTTACACTTCTCCCAGCTCCACACCAGCCCCATCACCCCCCCCCCGCCCAACTGTACCTGCTCCCACGCCAGCGCACAGCCACTCTCCTTAGCGGCGCCCACATCCCGCTGTCGGGCCGTAACCCCATGCTGCAGGAGGCATTGGGCATCCGCCCGCACATCCTGGTGCTGAACAAGATGGACCTGGCTGATCCCCGCCGGCAGCCGGTGAGCGCCGGGGCAGAGCGGGCTGGCTGGCTGGCAGGGGCCCCACAGGTTGCCGCAGGCAGGTGCCAGCAGTGCCTCTGCCTGTCCCTTTCAGAGAGTCTTGGAGCACCTGAAGCAGCAGGGATGCTCACATGTTGTCTTCACTGACTGCCAGCGTGATGGCAATGTCAAGAAGGTAATGGGCCAGCAGCCCCGTGCCCAGCCTTGCTCCTTGCTGTCGGCAGCTGAGGGCCATGCGCCGATCCCCCAGCCTCAGGGAGTGGCCCCAGCGCCCCACTGTGAGGAGGTGATGCTGGCTGTCCAGAGCGATCTTCATTTCCAGCTTACCCGAGGCTGTTTACCCATCCTTTGCTTGGCCCCTGTTTTGCACATCCTCCTGGCACAGTGTCCCCCCAGGCAAGTGGCTGCTGCCAGCGCGGGTGCAGTGCTACAGTTACAGCCCTTCTCCGTGTTTCTCTGCAGATTGTTCCCTTGGTTGCCAAGCTGGTGGGCAACAGTCCACGATACCACAGGGCTGAGGTGAGATGCAGCAGCGAGACTGCCAGTGTGTGCAGTCAGGGTGGCCGTCGGCAGGTCACCTCCTTCCCCAGCTGGAAGGATGAGGCCGCTCACACACGTGCTGGAAGTGCCGGCAAAGGCTGGGTTGTTTCGCTGTTGCGGCTGCCCGCCGCTCCTGGGGTGGGTGGCCAATAACCAGCTGCTCCCTGCCTGCATCCTCCTCGCTTCCAGAGCACCGAGTACAGCATCCTGGTGATCGGCGTGCCCAACGTGGGCAAGTCCTCACTCATCAATGCCCTGCGGAGGCTGCACCTCAAAAAGGGTATTTCTGCGTGGTGCCTGGGCTCAAGGAGGAGCCACTAGCACGGCTGTGGAGCGGGCAGCGGGGCAGAGCGTCGCTTCCTTCTCTGACTGCATCTCTCCTTTCCCCGAAGGGAAAGCCACCGCGGTTGGTGGCGAGCCGGGCATCACCAAGGCGGTGCTGACCAGAATCCAGGTACCGTCCCCACGGCGCAGCTGGCTGCATGGGTGCTGGCTTCTGCCTCCCTGCATCCTCTTGCCCGCGAGAGGTTTCTCATTTCTGGAAAACCTCAAGGCACGCAGAGCTGATCTCAAACAGTTGCTTGGGCGCCCTTTCCAGCGAGACCTTAATGAAAGAGCTCAATGCCTCGCTCGTTAGCCATGTCAGATTCCACAGTGCTAATTGCTGAGCCACACGTCCTAACTGCCCTGATTCCCCCCATCCCAGGTCTGCGAGAAGCCCCTGATGTACCTGGTGGACACGCCTGGCGTGCTGTCCCCGAAGCTGGGGGATGTGGAGACGGGCATGAAGCTGGCACTGTGTGGTGAGGTGGAGGCTGTGGCCAGGGGGGGACTCCCCAAATGTGGCTTTGAGCCCTGGCTGGGCCTGGTACCTGAGGCTGGGGCAGGAGTCTGCTGCTCACAGCCCCCCCAGGCCAGTGCACGCTGCCTGGGTGCCCATGGGTGGTATGTGGGCAGCACGAGGGGTGGCCAGGGCTGGGAGCAGGGATGAGGGGAGCTGGGGCTTGACCCGTTTTTCCAGGAGCCATCCGTGACCACCTGGTGGGGGAGGACATCATGGCTGACTACCTCCTGTACGCCCTGAACAAGAACCAGCAGTTCAGGTGAGCCAGTGGGGGAACTGGAGAGGGCTGGGGCTGCATCTGCTGCCGGTGGTCCCAAGCGGGTGCTGGAGAAGCTGTCCCTGGGGAATCGGGTGGGGAGAAGTGATGCCAGCAGGCTGTGAGCCCACACCTTCGGCAGGTATGTGCAGCGCTACGGGCTGGCTGAGGCCTGCGACAACATCGAGCCCGTGCTGAGGCGCGTGGCCCTCGCCCAGGGCAGGACGCAGAAGGTGAAGGTGCTGACGGGCACGGGTGAGTGCTCCGGGGGGGGATCTCTGCGGCCTGGGGCGTGGGGGCCAGGCTTTTGGGGATCCTAGGGCAGCTCCAGGCTCCGCTGATGCCTCTTTACATACCCACCGCCCCCGTCTCCAGGGAATGTCAACGTGACAATGCTCAACTACCCAGCCGCTGCCTACGAGTTCCTGCGGGATTTCCGGGCGGGACGCCTGGGCAGGGTGACGCTGGACTGAGACCTGTCCTGTGGGAGAGAGGCATTGCCCGCAGCCGCACGCGTGGGGGTAAAGGCCTGGCTGCTCCCCCAAGATGCCCCAGTCCCCCACGGGGCTGGGGCCACCTCGGCGTGGAGCTCTGGTGTGTGATTAAAGCAGCTCCCAGTTTTGGACCCCAGGCTGCCGCAAGGGGCTGGGGGGTGCAGGATCCCCATGGAGCCAGGGGTGGTGAGGCTGTACCATGGGGGGCTGCCCCGTGGTGTCACCATGCAGGGCAGTGCTCTCCGTGGGGAGCGCGGCACCCACCCAGCAGGGCCAGGGGCCCGGCTGCTGCCTCCAGCCGGGACAAAATCCCCCCCGGGGAGCCGCTTCCTCGCTGCGGTCTTGGCCTTCTCTGGGACCTCCATCCTGAAATAAAACCTCCATGGGCAGGGTGCCGGGGCAGTGGCCATCCCGAGGTCCCTGTCCCGAGCCCAAAGCCCCGCATCCAGCCACACCTGCTTTCCGCCCAGCTTTATTGCCGCCTCCTCGTCCTCCGAACGCTGCGAGACCCCCGTACAGAGGAGCGGCGCCAACGGGGTGCCCGAGCCGGCGGGGTTTGGCACGGGGTGGAGGGGGGGGAAGGTGACGGAGGGGCTTCCAGCGGGGTCCTGCCCCGCTGGCGGCGGGTGACCGGGTGAGGCCGGGCGCTGGGTGGGCACGGCCCTGGGAGC